GCGTCTGTAAAAGTAGTTTTTCTGCTATGACTCGTCAAAATCGATGTTATTTAATTGGAACATTTTGCCTTTGTGGTTTTGATGTGATGCCACCGACATACATTGGTGTTCTACGATCGAATGAGTCGCATTTACCGAAGGATTACAAACAAGCAGGTTGCTTCACTTGGTCGATGTGGAACCGAAAACTTGGAAGGAAAAAAAATCGAAAAACCGCAACGAAACGCATTGCGCCGATTGAACGGATATTGTTATTGCCGTCCCTAATGGCATGGACAAAACAATTCATCCAAGACGCGTTGTTTTCTCCCAAAGATTACAAAGAACCTTCAACGAAAAGGCAGCAAATGGAAAATACTGAGTGACCTTACCGATCATCAGGAATGACATTAATTTAATTCACAATGTATCTTCATATTACAAACGTGCAAAAGTTGCAGTTTTTCGAAGATACAATTTTTCTGCAATTGCAGCATGTCATTTATATTTATTGAAAGAAACGAGAAAATCTCTTAGCTCATCAGTATTCAGTATGCCACGTATTTCATCACGATAGACAGTTAATAAAACGCACTTTCCTTTGTACTTTGTACCTACTAAAGCGAAATTTATCCAAAAACTTCATAAGTTACTCGTGGTTTTATGCGCTGAAAGGGGGAGAGAGCGATGTAATTTAGGGTCGTTTTAACTGCAATTCAAGTCACGCACTGTAGGGTTGCAATTGCGGACAAGCAACGACTTCCTAAGCAGAAAAATGGGGAAGCATGCACTGGTGAAAAGTGAAGAAATTACAGAGCATCCCTAAAAAAGATAAAAGAGTACAAATTTTACTGTCATAAAAATTCCCACAAATTTTCAGTCAAAACTTCAGCGATAAAAGTCACAAAAGTTATATAAGAACGAAAAATAAATGTAACTAATTTTTGAAACACGAATTACAGTGTTTTTGTTGTTATGATTATACGTGCTTAAAAATATGTCAAGCAAAAACAAATTTGAGTTTAATAATTCAATTTATTATTCTCGAGTTGTAGGTCTTTTTTGACGGACGACTTGACGTATTATTAAATCATTTGCTTACATAAATGAGGAAAGAAGCATCAGATTCGAATATGATTGTGAAGTTCATCGAGCTCATGAAACCGAAACGTGTATGAGACATGCGAGTGCAGTGAATTATTACGTTTTATGTCGTTCTGTGACATGTGTGTGACGGTTAAATTTGTATAATTTGCTTCTTCAGAGGCCTTTTCCGAACATCCGAAACCGGATTCAAGGCGGATTCGTCACAATTCACCCTGCGCGCACTCGCGCATCAAACATAAAAACTAATAAGCCATTCATGTCAGTGAGTAAAAACAAAAGCCACACATACACTTGTCTGAACATCGCGCATTGTGCTCATTCATTATTTTACGATTTTTTTACTCAGCGACTTCTTGTGCACGAGAACAAAAATGTAGAAAAAATAATGCTACCGTTTGCGGCATGGGAGTTACAGGGAGGTGTAGAGCTACTGTTTGTTTTCAAAAATACGGAAGCGTCTGTAATACTGTAATCCTGGGCCCTTGCTTGCACTTTTCATGCGGGATATATTGTTGCAGTCAGATTCTCATACGAAATGAGTTCTTTTTCTCATCTTTCTCGTCTCAGCGCGCGCGCGGTATTTTTTGCTCGAGTTCGGACCGTGCGACGATAAATCATGCGAACGTGACATTCCAATAAAAACGCAGATAAAAACAACGAACGCCCGCCGCCGCCGCCACTCCGAGCGTGGCTCACCTGCTATAATTCTTATTCCCGCTTATTTTCGAATTCGTGCGTTCGCGAACCGTACGCATTGTACACTTTTGGGTAGCAGTGTTGGAAAACGCGACGGACGAGGACGGATGGGCTCTGGTTATGGAGATTTCAATAATTCATAAGTGCGGCTTGAAATACGAGTATGTACAATTTTGACGGTGCTGTCTATATGAGAGAAGATACAGCTTTACCAATAAAGTTTGGAGGTGCGCACGGCGCAGCGGACCGGTAACGCGGAAAATGATGCTGATGCATTGGCCATCCATCAAAATCGCCTCGGCGCGCGAGTCGCTGGGCCAAATTATCTGATACTTTTCGCTGCTATCCATAAATCAATCACGTGCGTGCGATTTTCGTGCGCAAAGCGGATGCCTTCCAAATTTGTATTTAGATGAGATGAGCTGCCTAGTTACTTGCATTAATTTAAATTTAAACACTTTAACGTCAATATTCGACACAAATATAACGGCATACGAAAAATAACAGTACAACGGAATTGTAAAAATTATGTGAGTGCCATAAATTGAATTAGTTACACTCAGATGCAGTGCAAGGCACTATTAATGTCGTAACAGTCACATCTTTAACTTTTCGTTTTGTCGGACAAACGAAACTGTATACTTGAATGTTTGTTTAAATTTTTGAATATCTGGCTAGCCATTTCTGTACTGTGAAAATTTTGAGTGTTTATATTGCATGCACGAAATATCCCAAGATTAAATACGTTTATCGATATTCTCGAGCGTGCACTAGCGGTTTGATTGCACCTGGCGCACACAAAGCCAACTGGCTTTCATACACGAAACTCAAACGACAAACAGCAAATATAATAAAATTTCAAGCGGAACTTTCAGTCCTTTTCCCACGTGGACTTTTCTTTCAACATTTCACATTTTCAATAAACGCGAATGTTATTTCTGTTAAACTAAAAATAGGAGGTTGAAAAAAAGTCTTAAAAAAATAGTCAAGGTATGGACGTCATTGGATTTGATTGGACTCGATAGATTGATATATTCAAATATCATTTTCAACTTGTGCTTTTTCTTTTACAAAGACGAAAAAAATTTGCATTCGTATGCGTTGCTTACTCGTCTTCAATGTCGAAGCTTCAAGCACATGCACAGTTCTATAAACTCAGTGAGTCGATCTGCGAATTTCCAAGTCGTATTTCGCTCCGCGCGCGGCGTCGGCAAAGAGGGCACACGCGGAGAGAGATTCCCGTTGGGAATTTCTTCCCATATAGATGCAAATGTAATTCAATGTGCCAGACCGCAAATGGTCTCTGGTACGCGAGCGCGGTGTGGTGCGGCACGACGAGCGCAAAAGCCTATGACGTTTCCAATTGCTCCCGCAAACCGCACTCGCGCATTGCTTCGATTTCGCTTCTCCTGCGAGCCATGTCGAACTGTTGAAGAGACGCGTCTTCATTTCGAGCCGACCGCTTGCTTCAATAGGCATCATCTAATATTAATAAACTGACAAGTGGAACCGCCGAGTACCCGAAAGCATCGAAACCGAAGTTACTTGAAGTGCAAGTATAAGGTGAATATAAATTTAGTTCAAAGTTGCAACAAGTTATCATTCGAAATTTGTATTTCTTCCGGCATTATCCTTATGCTTATTGATGTCAGTCAATGAAAAATTAACATTAAAATCGAAACTCAACTGTTGAATATCCACATATCGAATTATACTCTTATTATTAACCTGTCAATATACATCGATGATCTATACTCAAAACTAAATTTTGGTAATAATTAAGAAAAATGGTTGGGTCTAAAAAGACCCCAGGCGTCTTAACAGCAATTAGCAATTGTACGAAAATAAACGAAGGAAACGCATGGGTTCCAAAGAATGGGCAGTAATTTGAGGGATTTTTTGCTGATTTTGCCTGCCACGAAAAGAGGGTTGAACGACGGGACGTGTGGCACCAGGCACGAGACACTGTCGGTTCCCTCTGAAAACACAAGATGAGCGGCAACAAACAAATAGCAAGCAATGGAAGGAAGAAAATGTGCAAAAGAAAAAATAAAAAGCCGCCGAGTGCTGGGCGGTGCCGAGACGTTTCCGCTAAGTGTGCCTTAACCTAGCGCCTAGCGCCCTTTTCTTCTTACAATTTTTTTGTGATTTTATTGCGTATTTTTTGCGTTTTATTGCTCATGCATTTACGAAACACTCATCATTACTAGCAAAAATAGTAAAATAATAAAACATGTGATCTTGATCTTGATGAATCACGCGATTAAAACTTGAATTGATGAATTTTGAGCGGGTTCGTAGAAGCTTTTAGCAAACGTGAATAGCAAATTTGAAAACGGGAAATAGTTAACGCGTATTGAGCATTTGCTGTTGCATATATGCGAATTCGGGGGAGGATGCAGAAGCATTCAATGCGTCAGTGCGTCAGTGTTGCAATTTTCTGGCGCCTCTAACAAAAAAGGGGCGAGTGGTTGGTCTGTCGCAATGTGTGGGCGCAAATGTGTCGAGACCCGTCCGTGCCTGTTGGCACTTTGTAATTATGCATCGGAGCCGTTAATTTTAATAGTTGCACTAATAACCCCAGGCAAGCGGCTCTTTTTTCGGGCGGTTTTCTTCGTTAGATCGTTGTTAGAGCCTCAAATTAGTGGCGGTGCCACACTGTCGAGGGGCAACACAAAGTGTGCTATTTGTTCAGGGGATCGACGTGTGAGTGTGTCATTTGAGCGTGAAGCACACGCAGCACGACACGAATTCCCTAATTGAGCACAAACGCGGAGCGCATTTTCGTCCAAAACGCATCATCATCAATGGCAACCGATCGACGAGAGTGCGTACGCTTCGTAGCGCTGTGGACATCCAGAGAGAGATTGTCAGACAATTCGACGGAAATGACAACACAATTGGACGATGATTGTTTACGGCGCTGAACGAACGAACGACGCGAGCGGAACCTCGAAATTCGGGACCGGCTTTTCTACTGCCGTCGACCACACTATTACATCGTGTGGTCGCTTGTCTGCCACTTATTAGGATTCGTTTTCTTTTTTGTTCGCAATGTGCATGTGTTTTTCGAAAAACCCACAATCACAATAGTCGCGTCTAATAATGGCGGTGCGGACGCAAACTTTTCGTGTGGAGTGTCACGACACTCGTGCTTAGGCAGAGGATGCAACCGGCGTGTACAGAAACGCAAAATTGGAAAGGAAATGAGCACTCACCTACTCGGCTACTCGCGCACATCGTCCTCGTGTGTGCAGACGCTGTCGTGGTTCGTTATTCGGGTTCTATCCGCATCCGCCACTCCGGTCCGGAGTAGCAGCTTGCAATGTGCGTCTCATCACCACCGCACGGAGACGAGCCCGGCATTCGTATCATGCCGCCAACGCCGTCGACCTAGGAAGCGAGTCACGTCGCTCGCTTCTGGTTATTCGTATGCTGAGCACAAACATCTGCAACCATCAAAAGAAAAACAATATCAGTAAAACTCGCGCCAGTATAGCGATATCGCAGGCCGTATAAGGGTTGTGCAATATGAACGGCGAAACACTAAAAGATAATAACATACCCCCACAACCACTAAAACCACGAACCATAAGGTAAAGTTTTTCTTCACAAAAATTTCTAAAATTACTCATGTTTTCAATCATTTTTTTGCTTACCTGTACGCAAAATTTACTTTTCTGTCTATAAAATAGACTTTGCTGCCCTTAATTCACAATATACTAAATAAATAAGAAAACTACAGTCTCGTTAATTTATGAAGAGGTTTCCTCTTGTTAGAGGCAAATGAGGTCGCGGTCGCCTGCTTCACGCGAAATATAAAGTCAAAAACACAACCGATTTCGCTCATATTTACGATACGAGCGTCGCCGAGCGTGGAGTACAAAAGGGTCCAAACTTTTTAACTCAATAAAACCCTAATTAACCATTATGCTTATCGTCATTACGCCACCGCTTGCGCGCGCGACATCGTAACGACGCCGAGAGCGCGTATAAAACGCTCTAATAAAATTACCATCGCGTTTCGCGATAGCATAGCATCGCACACAGAGCGCAGTGCTCTAAAACACAATGCCGTAGTTAATCGAACAGTGGCGCATTCACTGCTGGCAAACATCACCATGCAAAAACGGTAAAGCCAAAGGTTGGCAGACTTTAACTTTAAGTATATTTATATTTAAAGAGATGAGACAAGACTCAAAGCGACGCAATAGCACTGAGAGTAAACGCTGTAATCGTCTGTAAACTTAATATAAGAACAACACACGAAGAAGCTGAAAGTCAGCCGAGATAGAGAAGAGATTTTAATGTTTAATGCCGTTTCGTTATGGATCACTTGATTCAAGGCATTAGATAATGTAATATCGTTGATTACAAAGGTCTAATAAAAAGCCCAAGCGGTCGAGAAAGCAAATAAACGCAATATAATGAGTTTAATGAATAACCGCATTAATGAATAACTAGAACAACCGCTTTTTAAGGTCTATTGGATCCTGTTTATTGCGTTCGAGACTGAACGGTGACTGCATTCGAAGCAGCGAAGCGAATTTCAAATTTTGAGGGGAAAACACAACCGATGAAAACAAAGAAAATGGAGAGTCATCATTAAAAATCAACACGACGTTTTATTGCGGTAAATTTGTAGTTTTTTTTAGTGGAGTTTTGTCGTTTTTGTTGTTGATGTTGTGGTGTTTCATGTCTGTCGATATGAACACATCGCTTGCTTGCGCTTACAATTTTTGGGACGTAATTATATAGGTGGCATCAGGACGTTTATAGTGCGTTTATAAAAAGATAAAAGGCTACGAAATTATGCCTTAGCAGGGAGGAAAAGAGCGAGCATTTAAAATAATTATGATAATGATTATTGTTGGCGCACAGGACGAGCCAGTCTCGTCCGTCCGGCGAATCAACCTCAACGAGTTGAAATCGAGGGACAAACATCCACAACTCATTTAAGCATTGAATCAACCGGAGGTCTCAGAAGATAATTTGGTTTTTCAATAGGTTAGAAATTTCTATAACGTTGAATTCGATGAATACGTGAACAGACTGTATATAAAATTATGAAATGTTGACAGCCAACCCCTCACTAAGCGTTTCTAATCTACCACACTTGTTTTTGTGATCCCGGTTGTTTTCTTTTTTATGCATGCGTTGCAGTTTTTTGTTTTGTTGTTGTAACGTTCTATCGTTTTTATTTGTTCCACATATAATAGGATGTTATGACCCAGAGCCATCGACGGGTGGCTGTCGACGATGAGAATTTATTACGCCTGTGCTTTGGTCTTATTAGAAGCGAAGAAGCGATCGTCGCCGCTTTTCGGCAAAGGTGTCTTACCTGAACGCGCGCGAGATTCCAATTTGATCCCCACGTATGTTACTTTCATGGGTCGACTGTGCCCTAAAGGCAACCAACCCTTACTTAATCCAATTTCGTTTATAATGAGCGAATTTATTTTTTTTCTTTTCGTCCCCATGCCGAATCATGTGTTGTATGCACCATATTACAAATTACAAAAACATTTTGTGCCTTCTTTCGACGTTCCAGTTGATAAATGTTTTTTGGTGCGCGCTGCTGTGGTAAAACGTTCCATAAATTGGACATTAGATTGAAAGGCAATTTGTTTATCGTCCGCGCGATTATCGAAGCACAAAAAAGAATTAAGAGCTAAAAAACATAATGTTCAACCGAAAAGTTAGAAAAACCCATTAAAATAATTGAGGCGATAAAAATTTGGGCGAATAACTTGGCAAATTAGTTTATAATTTCGATTTTAATTTAATTTCAAGTCATAAAACTCGACTGTACTTACATTTAGTAAAATTGCTTCACGTAATTTTCAAATTTAAATTTTATAACTTAATTATATTAATCACAACTCACAATACTTAAAGGAACCTCGTAAATATGTGAAAAATGCTTACATTGAAAGCAGTCTCATTTATCAATTCCCAAATCGTCGATACGAAAATATTTATTACATTAATGACGTCCGATTACTTTTGACTTCTTTCGACGAAAGATATTGATTGCTGCATGCAAAACGCCCGAACTTCGGACCCAATGTTTTCTCCGACCGACTGCAATTTGAATAAATATCCATTGGCCAAAAATGAAAAAAAAAGCTATAGGTATATACCCGGGTATATATGGTCTCATACAATATGCATATAAACCACTTTTTCGTAAATTACACGCCTTGCCAATGCAATGCAATGTGCGCACCTCTTCTTCGCATATGTTTCGTCCACTGGAGAGTTTGCGAATTTCACAGCATCGCATGGTGAATTGCATGGACCGCGCACATGTATTTTGCATAAGTTCGTTCCGAAGGTGCACTCTTCCTAAGAAAAAGAAGCGTTGAACTCCGGCGTGGTATAGTAATGTATCGTAATTTTATAATAATGTTATTTATGCACATACATAAAGCAAAACGTCTAGACGGAGGAGTCGCCATCGCAAGTGTTGGCCGGCAAGAGAGTAAAACATTGCATAAATGCAGCCAATTAAATTAAATTTGCTTAAATTTCGTTCGCCAGTTGGCCCACCGAAATACCAGTGAGCGCACTGCGCGCTTCTGACTAACGTTTTATATGCTTTAATTTCAATTCCTATGAACTACTTGCATGCATGTGTATATATGCATGCGTTACGTACAAAGTGCCGTCCGTAAATTTAAATAAATATGTTATAATTATTCGAAACAGTTTGAGATTTTCGAACGTTTAGGTTTAACTGCCATGGTTTGACGGTTCGACTTACACGCATCGCATTGGAGATTGCAGATGGAAAATTAAATTTGAATTAGCTTCGACGCTCTGAGCGCCCGCGAGGCCTAATTGAAATGCACATTTTTCAATACATTTTCATTGTTGAAAAATTTTAATATATTTTTACTCCTGTGGTTGGATACATTTTTGAGAATTTGAAAACAAAAAGAACTAAAATCAAAGGCAAGCCAACGAAATAAAGAAGGTAATTGCAGGCATAGCTTTTATTATTTTTTCGTGTGTGTCTGTCTGCCGAAGACGACGCAAAGTGAACAAGGGCATTGGTGCACTAATTGAAATAATGATCCGATTTCGAAATAAAAATGTATTAAAGAAACGCCGCGCCGCCGCACCGGACGACGCGTCGCGCTGGACCGCACGACTCGGAACTCTTAAAACGCGGGTAATTTACTTGAATTTAACTCGAACTTTGATGGCTTTAATGTAATCAGTAATCAGTAATCACGACAAGAAATCTTGATATTGTGCATCCGCACTCGGCGCACACAAAAAGTTTAATCTTGTTTGAGGTAACAAATTGAAAAGTTGAATAGCTAAGTAAATATTTTTGAGATAAACTGTTGGACCTTGTTTTTTAACAATGTTAGCATTCTTTATTCATTTATTCAAGTTAAGAAAAGAGCAGGAAATGATTAAAAAGCATATTAGAAAGTAATATTTAAATAAATCGCTTTTTCTACATTTTTAAATTTTAAAACCTTGATTGTAATCTCTTGAACTTTTTGGAAATTTTCAGCGTTTTTTAACTTTTATTTTGAATCCATTCACAGACGATTATATTGCGAATATCCTTATACTCGTCTTTCACTCGCCGAGTGGTGAAAGACGAATACACTTTTTACGCAGGTAATTTAACAAAACCATCATTCGAATTACCAACGATGATTCGACATCATTCCTTGTTTCGCTTGTTGTGAGCACACCCAAATCCAATACGTATCTCGTTCATCTTTTCATCTTTTACGCTCATTCTGTTCCTTTTGGACCAACCCAATGTTACTCATGTTACTTGTATGAATTTTACACAAGTTATTCGCAGATTATTCATACTCGTACATTTTTGCCGCTCCAAAAATTTCAAATCTCTGTGAAATGTGACTTAAATTGGTTTTATAAAAAATTAATCTAAGATATTTAATAAAAACTAGTTAAATGGTTCCGCTGTGTAGACATAGCAAGCGTAAAGAAGTACACTTAACGAAACTCACCAAGTAAGTAAACGTAATGCACGTTCACTCTTACGGCACGAAAGCATTTTGCAATTTCGCAATTACACGTTAATAACGATAATCAGCACCGCGCTCGATATAATCACCAAATGCAAGTTGTGAGATGCAATCGGCTCTCAGCAGTGAAACAAGAGGCGCGAGAATATTTAATGTGCTTCCGAAGGAAACGTTTTAATTGTGACACTTTTATTTACTTAGCGTTTTTTAATACCTTTTTCGTTTTTTTCATTTTCTCGAAAAACCTTCATTCCTATACCTACTTGTAATGCACTGTTGCTTGTTTTATTACATTTTTGTTGTTTACGAAAGAAAGAACTTGATTTTATTATCATACGCTCTGCGAATTTTAATATAAATTTAATGCGCTCGCCTTAAATATTAAATTTCCAGAGTTATATTTTGGTACGAAATTACACATTCGCAGTTGCGAGGCCGCGCATTAAAACGCACATTAAAATCCTCTTCTCGTCCTGCATTATAATAACACATTGTAAACATTAAAAAAGCGCGAAAATAAGAAGTACATGAAATAAAACGTTAAATTAATGCCCGTCGCCGCTGCAAAGGCTAGTAACGATCGAACGGACAAGATAAAAGGCGATATAAAGCGATATGAAGCGATATAAACGTGTCTTCCGTGCGAATAAAATGT